TGGTCAGCAAACATGAAATAGTGACCATGTCACATGGCATGTGACACACAGGTGGAGAGATTATGGCAATGTAGCTTCGCCATGGGAGTGGCATATAATACAACAACATGCAGCAAGTTTTAAGATTAGTGAAAGATGGAAGGTAGAAGAATAAGGCTAGGGGAGAAGAAAAAATGCAGCGAGTTGCAATTAAAACCTCACAAGAGAGAAACAAGAGAGAAACAAGCATATGGCAGAAAGCATTGTTATAGCTACCAGGATCTGTTTTCCTCTGTGTTCGTTCCCATTTGCTGTTGTCATTTTAAACCAGCTTTTAAAAAGTTGGAAGATTAATGCAGAAATGGGAGTGGGTGTATGTTAGTGATCATTCCAACACAGGCCGGTAGTCTTGTCCATCCGCAGCTTCAGCTCCAAACTTGGAGAACCAGTTTTCCCTGAGCAAACTTCCCCTTCTGTGGAGGGGAAAAATTGTTTGTACAGAACTTGAAAGCATACTTACACAGTGGACCCACTCCCCATATAATTACATTTATATGTTGCCTTTGAATATTGTTTTTTGCTCCATGGAAATGTTTTCCTATGGTTTGTAACTAGATAGATACCTTAGTCATCTGGAGAGCCATATCCTTTACTATAAAATATGTTCCTTTAAAACTTTTTAGTTTGTTCTTTCATGCTGTCAGTGTTGATCGCACAGACTTTTAAGTGACTGTGGTCACTGTTGATCAGTATTGCAAATGGTTAGCATAACAGGTTAGAAAGTATTTCAGATTAACTGGATATATATTTTTGGAAACCATTAGTTGTATGTGTGTTTGTATCTGTGCACGTAATGCTAAAGAACATTACATAAATGCTTGGTTTGGGGTAGGGAGCTCTGAGATGGTTTAATTTGTGACACACTGAATGTAGTAATCTCTTTCAATTTTAAAGTACTCCCTTCTACTACCAGAGGTCAGTGAAATCTTGCTGTCTCAGATGGCAGTGGGGGGAAAATAATTTTTTTCATAAGCAACATTTAACATTGCAAACCAGGATTGTTAACTACATAAGTGATAAGTTTAATTTGGCTGCAGTTGGGTGAGCTAGCATCTGAACTAAATTTTATCCCAACCGCTTTGATGTATGAATGAATACTTTATTACGGTCAAAGACCAGTAAAACCAAATCAATATAAAATAGATACATATAATTATAGTTTGGTAAAATCAGCCAGGGTAATAAAATTCCATTAAAACATGATAAAACAACCACATTTTTGTGTGCCCTTGTTCCCAGCAAAAATAAACTATACATCATGTTTTCATCTAGGGCCACAAGATAGCGAATGTACTGGTGGTGAACTTTTGTCTGACAAGATTGAAAGATAGGCATTCCAATCCACACTGCAAGGGGTTAAATCTGAAACCAACACCTCTGGCTTGAGTCTGCAAGCCTTCATTCTGAAACTTTTTTTTAAGGTGTACCTACAATGGAAAGTCACTTTGGGAACAAAATGTTTGGACTGATTTGAATCAGCCTTTGTGTTAGTGGTCAGTTAAAAAACAACAACACACACCTTCAATTTCTTACATTTTATAAGCAGAACAGATCCTGTGGTATTTGATCATGTAGTTGCAACCTTAGACAAAGACACCTCTATACTTTTGGCCATGATTTCTGGAGCTTTTATGTTTCTTCTGCACCACCACCCCAGATCTATGGTGCCTAATCGAAGACCTGTGCTGGGTCAAAAGCTGGTTTCTATTTGTGATTTTTTAGTGATTGAATGGAGGTATCAACCAACTTTGCCTTCAATGGTTTTCAGAAGCTTAGTTCTGGATATTCATTCCATCCATCTTCAGAACTAACAACAACTTGTATAGGTTTCTTATATCTTATGCTTGATTTTTCTAGGAGACAAACAGTTGTGCTACTGGGGACACTGTATTTAGAATGCTAGAGGGTATGTAGGTGGGAGAGCAGTAGAAACCCATCTGTCTTTTGTTTTTTTTAAAAAAAGACCAGATTCTGCAATGTGAGCAACAAGAACAACAAAAATCCTCCCTCTGGACATTTTGAAATAAACAGATGATTGATTGATTGATTGATTGATTGATTGATTGATTGATTGATTGATTGATTGATTGAGCTTATATGCCATCCATTTAGACATAGTCTACTCTGGGCGGCTCAAAAACCGCAGAATAAAAACAATTCATATCAAACAACAATTTACAGCATTTACACAGAACAAAGTAGATAAAGATAGAGAAAAAGAGGAAGTTACGTAATGCCCAGAGGGAAGGCCTGTCTATATTTTGCAGGCTTATACAGTATTAAAAGAAGTATAACCAAGTGCCTATCTCTGCACCTCTGCTTTGCACCTCTGAGAATAGGCTTAAAACCTGCTCATCTTAAAAGCCAAGCACATCAGAGAGATAAGGTATTTTGACATCTAAATCACTGGAAATTTTGGTAACTAAGAATTCTGCATAGCCGGCTATGTATATGCCTGATCCTCCTCCTTGTGTCCTTTTCTCTATGCAGGCATTCAGAAAGTGCCTTTCCTTGATGTAATTCTGCCCCAGTGTTACAGTGGTTACCTAACTTGTACCCTGCAACGGTGTGCACAGTGAGGACAACTGAAGTCAGGGTAGCCTGTATACACACAGTCATAAGTCTCGGTGTTATCTGGAATCCTGCATTCTTGGGATTCCAGATCACATGGATGCCCGAGTATTCACATAGCTACACAGAGGTCCAGTACCTGACAATGACTGTGGAGGAAATAAACCAAGAAGAGAAAAGGGGCTGTGCTCCCGGCCAGATGACTGTGCTCTCAAGGCCTTCCATTCCTTAGGAATGGTGCTGAATCTGTAAGGGATCATTTACCCGTCAGCGAACAGAGGGGTTCAGGGCTTGGCTTTGCTTTAGTTCAGTTATAGACTGCTTGATTGGAGCAAAGTGCTCACTGAGAACTCTAAGGTACAGAACTATTTGCGTTTTCTGGGGTGATGGTATCTTTCTTTACGGACAGGTGTGCCCTGTTTCCTTTTTAAGATTTCTGGGTCTAAGTTGTCTGTCTCTTCAAGAAGGCATTTGTCAGTATTTCCTTGATAGCAAACTGAGCCCTTCTCTCTCTCTTAGAGTAATGAGTTAAGAAGAGTAATGACGGAACATAAATGTCCTTGGGTGTGTTTGTCCAAATATTTGGCCAGCATCTTTGGCCCTGTCCATTTAATAGTCTGTTGGATGTTTTGTAGGGTAGAAGCAGTGCCAATTCATGAACACTGTTGGCATTCCTTGTTGAGTAAATATTGAGTCCAAGAGGGAATTGCTCGGGGCTGCCACCTTCTAAGTGTCCTTACAGCTGTTGCTAACATTACAGTAATAGCTTTGTATTTGTCACTGGGCCAGTCAGATGTTTGAACAGACAAACTGTGTACATATATAGTGCCAAGCTGTTTGGCAGTATCACAATATTTTATAATATTGGTAGCCATGGATTCCAGATGCAAGTTACATAACCATGAGAAAGCACTGGGGATATGTCTGAATGATAATGTGGTATGTATATATTAGGCTCTGGAAAAGATGCTTTATCTCCTCTCCATCCCAGACTGCCTTATCACATCTTTGTGTGTCTCGTCACACATCAGTGCTTAAAACTGCTGTGGAGAGATTCTTTACGAGTGTCTTTGTTTTTCATGTGACTCATTTTTGGGGGCTGACCAAGGGTTGCCTTGCGGTTCCCTGGTCTATTGGAGTTTTATATGGCATACAGAGGGGTTCCTAAGTAGACAAGCCACCCATATTACAATTGGAAGAAGATGGGTTGATCTGCTGAGATTTGTTCCCATGGAACCCAGGTTTCCCCAAGTAATTATGCTGTAGCCAACCAGATTTGCAGCAGCCAGGAGGAGCACATGGAAAAGCTATCATCTCACTCTGCGGCTGCAAGCAGATACTCAGTCTGACTCTCATTCCTGCCCCATTCAGGTCCACCCAGTGCCGGTGCGCCACTTTTGGCTGTTTCTCACTTCCCTCCCCTTGTAATTCATTGTTGCCCAGAGAACAATCACATTTGCTCTGGCTGGCTGATCAGCAGGGAAGGCGGGCTGATTTGTTGAGCTTGCTGTTTGTTCATTGCAGCTGCTTGCAACCATGGAGAAGGCAGATGAAGGGCTTCCCACATGTGCCTGCCTATGACCAGCTGACTCCTGCAAATCTGGATAGCTATAGCAGAAGCTGCCTTAACAAGGTGCTAAGAAGTGCTAATTGGCAATTTTCTTCTATCTAAACATACCACCTGTTGTTCTCGTTTCTCAATTCAATGGTTAAAGCAGGCATACATAATACAGTATTTCTACAGGTGACCTATTTTTTCCCCCCTTGTTATGGATTCAATGGTTAAAGCAGGCATACATAATATTTCTACAGGTGACCTATTTTCCCCCCTTGTTATGATCCTGGAGAAAGTCTTCCATTTCTCCTCCTCCTAAATGGTAGAAGAGAAAGAACAATGGTGGGCTGTTTTGAATGGGACAGCAGCGTTGGCTTGCTATCTCTTGCATGCCTGTCCCACACCTTTATTTTCACAGGTGGAGGCAGTTCGAGTTAATGTAAAGAGTGACTCTGAAGACCTTCAGTATCCAGTCTTGTTTGTGGTTCGCCAGCAAAGGGGAGTTCTGTCCTGGCAGGTCCCACTTCTTTTTCGCGGGCTGTAAGTATTTATAATATTCTCATTACCCACCTTGAAGTATTTGGCACTGTGGCTGAAAACCTATTGCTTCATGTAGCAAGTCGCAACTAGAGTACACCTATTGAATCAGTGCAACTTATGGAGGCGTTGACTTAAACAAATCCCACTGATTCAATGAACCTATGGTAGTTGTAACTTACTGCAGGAATTTGCTATATAAGTTTCACACATTAGATCTTCTTGACAGGAAAGGAAGGCATACATTTATATCACAGCCGTTTTCAGGTATCTTTGGCATGATGAGCCCTAGTATTCCATATACTTCAAAGGCTTGCTTTATCTTCTCTGCTATTTTGAATGTTATGGACTCAGTTTAATGGTTAAGCCCAAGAGGACAGCCACTGAATCAGTGGACACCTTTTGGTGGAAGTGCTATTCACCTCCCATTGCTCCTTGCAGTAGAATGGGGATGCACAGCACACGTCCCTATGAGAGTACCTTTTACACTCTTGCTAGCTCTAGAGACCTGCATTATTCTTTTAAATGAGGAAAAACACTTTTGTTCTTACGGTTTAACTCCTTCACCACTGCATTCTGTAGTTATTTAGCTAAATACTAAGTATTTTCGGAGTGGCTTACAGATCCAGAATGGAAAAAATGAAATAAAGGATAAAAAAAAAATTATAAGGATCACAGCAGAATTTTTTTTAAAAATCCTTTAAGAAGCAAAACAGTTCTTTAGCTGATTCCAAAGTCATATCAGGATGGGTGCCAGGGAGCCCTTTCTGCGTTCCAATACTTTTTTCCAGTTGCTACCCACTATTTTTGAGAAGATGGGAGCACTGGAGAAGGTTGTAAACCTCAAGAGACTAAAAAGGATGGTACAGGTGAAGATGCTCCAATGAATACCTGACCCCCAAGCTATTTAGAGCTTTAAATAAGCAGCAATGTTTCAAATTGAACTTGGAAATGACAGGAAACTGTGCATTATATTCTGATGAAGTGAGGTATAGTCTGCAGAAGATCACACTGTAGTAAATTTGTTAGCTTTTAAGGTCTTCAGTAGTTGTAGTATTTTGTCTGGCCCAGCATGGCTGTCCCTCTAGAATTCAGTGTTATGGGCAACGTTCTAGGTGATGGAAATTCATGATTTTGTTCTCGTGTTCGCAGCTACCAAAGGACGTATAATTACACTGAAGTGAGCCGTACTCTCTGCCCCTCAGAAGCTTCACTTGAGAGTAGACCTTCAGAACAGATCTTATTTGTTGATGTGGCTTCCATGGCCCCCTATAATGCCAACTATGTGCTGCAGGTTACCAGAGTAAAAAACTTCCAGCTGGGGTGAGTGGTCAGTGTTTTGTTTCTGCAAATGTCCACTTGCTTGTCAATAACTTAGAACTGCTCTTAGTTGCATGTTATTCCTGTGACAGGACTACCTTTGTATTACTTGGAGATGTAAAATGAGTTCAGATTGCTCGGCATGATACATGGCTTGTTATCTAAACTTGGAGGCAGATCAGTTGGCAGCCCACACTCAAGAGAAAATGAGTGGACTGATTTACAAGAATACTAGAATACTATTAGTTGGGCCACCAAATTGGTTCCATCCCAATCAATCAGTTGTGAGATACTTCTCCCCCCCCCAGCTTAATGCTAGAGTCAGGCAGGCAAACAAACAACAAGAGAAGTAAGTGTCTTATAGTTGAACCTTTCTTTGGTAAATATAATCATGGTGGACAGTGAAAGTGTCGGTAGAGTCAGGTAGAACACCAGGAGTCTTCTGGTAAACCATCCAAAATCTTGTACAGATTGAATAATTATTGGCCTGTGGGTAACTGTGGCCCTCCAGATGCTGCTGGAATTTGGCATAGCCAGTGAGAAGGGCTGGGAGAAATTGCTGTCAAATAATTTCTAAAGGGCTGTAGAGACCCAGCCTTGGTTGAGATCTTAGGGCACTTTCTTCTTCCAGGGATAAACATTACTGCTGCTAAGCAACATCTGGTTCAGGGAGGAGATGATGCTTTCCTCAGATAGGTTCTCAATCTCTGTTGTTTATTTTATTGAATAGAGCTAATTTGACAAAATGAAGTCAGCTGCAGATATGTCGATGTTATTTTTCAAGTACCTTCAGAAAAGGTGCTGCCTGCCAGCATTCTAAAAGTTTCATTACTTAACCCGATGCCAACACGATTCCCCTTATTTTCAGGATGGACACCGCTTTTAAATTCACTGCCAGTCCTTCCCAACCTCAGGTAAGCAAGAATACTATTGTTTCCATTTATTATCCCCTCTGTCCCTCCTTGACAAGGATTGGACCTGATGATCCATCAGGTCCCTTCCACCTCTGCAATTCTAAGGTTACTATTAAAGGACACACGTATCTTTTCAGTGGGAAATCTCAGGCATTAAACTGTTAGACTGTTCTCTTATCAGGATGCCGATAAGGCCTATTTGCCGTGTTGTCATGTGACAGTCAGAAATAATTGTTTGTTGTGGCACATATTTTTCCAATCACTGCAGGACTGCCTGTTCCCAAACTTTCCACCATCTCACCTACAGTTGAATTACAGTACATTGTTTTGTTATGCAGCAGTTCCTGTTACACAGCCTTGTTGCAAACAAGTCTCAGTTACAGGATAGATTTTTAGAAAAATTTAAGCCCAGGAATAAGAAACGTGCGGTTGGATGAGGTCTCTATAGTCCTCCAGATGTTGCTGGAATTCAGCATACGTTAGCCTTACAAACACATCGGCCTCTCTGTTCATCCTTCTAGTCCAGCTTGGTCATGGATTAGGGTCAGGTTGGAGTGCCTTTCCCTGTGTGTGTCATGTAATCTCTGTGAAATAGATCACACCAGACCATTCCCTAAGTGAACATTGTCATAACATTCATTCAGCCCCATTGTCTTGCTCTGCTAGGAAGCTGTTGCACAGCATTTAAAATCTACCATGGTCATACTTCGCCATTCCTACTTAGATGCAAGAACGAGAAGCAGTACAGTACAAAAAACACACACCATTTTATACCTGTCTACCCACAAATGAGAAAGACTGGATTGTTCAAAATTAAATACAAGCCCATATATATATATATAGGCTGATACTTAATTTTGAGCAATCCAGTCTTTCTCATTTGTGGGTAGACATGCATAAAATGGATTTTTTAATATTAAAAAAATGTCAAAGTAGCACAGTATACAGGGCCAAGAAGTCATAGAATCATAGAAGAGTGAAGTTGGAAGGGGCCTTCAAGACCATCAAGTCCAACCCCTTGCTCAATGCAGAAATACAAATCAAAGGTTACCTGCCCGGGGGTTATCTAAGTTTTTTCTTGATTATCTTGATTATCCACATTTTTCTTATATAAAACTCATAATTAAGAAGCAAGGGTGGGACATCCCTGAGTTTTGAGCCTTCAAAATACACATTAAACAGCTTGCTCATCCATCTGTTCTCTCATGCCATCTAAATCAACTACCTATGGATACATACATACCCACACTATTTCCTGGATTCAGACACCTGTGCCTCCCTGGTTCATTCTTGTGGCCAAGCACTTAGAAGCCTTTTAGTTTTTTAAAAAAAGGAAGCCAAGATTTATTCTTTGAAAGAAACAATGACTGAAAACCCAGTGGTACATTGCAACTAGAGTAGTCCCATTCATTAAGTGGGAATTTGATAAGGCAACTTCAACCCAGTGGTACATTGCAACTAGAGTAGTCCCATTCATTAAGTGGGAATTTGATAAGGCAACTTCTCAAGTTCCATTGATTCAGTAGGCATGCTCTAGTTTTAGGTCACTGCAGGATTTTAGCCGTTAAGAATGTAAAAGAAAAATGTTGGTCACAGCCAGCCAAGTAGCAAAGAGAAGTTGGAAAGGGGGTGGGACTGATAAAAAAGTGTATCTTACTTCTCTGTAATGACACGAACTAAGACTTAAACACTCAAAATGCTCACCTTCCCCTTCCCCTCCCCCACTCCCTTATTTAAAACGTAAAATCATTTATATTACCATTACCTGCAGAATCATCCAGATGGCTCATTTCTGCCTTCCTCACTGCTGCTAAATTCAGTTCGAGAAAGAAAAAGCACCACACAGCGGCTGAAATGGTCTTTACCTTTGCCCCCATGTAATCTTGCATTGTTTTAAGTGTGCCAGGTGTTGTGCCCAGGCAACAAGGAGGGTTGGATGTAGTTGCACAATCTGACGCACAGTTTCTGAAATGACTGTTGTACAGCATGAATGCAGAAGTAATTTGTAAATGGTCCTTTCACTATGTTGTGATCAAGTTACCTGCAAAGGCATATGCCTGATCACAGCAGGAACACTTGGTTTAGTAGGCGTGATCTCCCTTAAGGAAACCTTTCTTTCTGCTGGGGAATCAATCCAGCCCAGCCCCTCCAAAATAGAATCCCTACAGCTCGACCAAAAATGTGCAGCTTTGGTATGGATCAGGGTCAATTTGGAGCGCATTTCCCCATGTGTCATGTCATCTCTGGGAAACAGATCACAGCAGACCATTCCACAAATGATTCAGATTATGTTATATTTCCTTGTGGGAACACACCCTGAGTTTCAGATCCAGTTGAGGGTGACAGGCAGGCCCCTATCCCAGGCTGGAAATCTCTTGAAGAGTCTTAGAGTGAAGGCCAGTGTGGGCATGACCTGCTAGGATAACCTTTCTGAATCTTCTCAAGAAATGGCAGAGGGTTAACTCAACTTCAGTGGTCCTAGGACACTAAAGCAAAGGTAAGTACAGTATAGCTTTACAGGGCCAGGGCCAATTTCATTCTGCTTAGGGGCACGCACCGCCACACTCTGCTATTGTCTGTGACCAGAATGTGGCAGCAGCAGAAGACGTGCTTCCAGTTTAAAACAAAGATAGTACATGCTTTGTTTAAAATGAGAATTAGTCTTCTAGAAACCTTCTTGGAGCATAATTCACCTGGAAGGCAAGGCAAGCATAGAGTGCATTCGCTATTTTGAGACAAAAATGTGCGGGGGTTGTGATACTGCTGCTCCTGCACATGCTATCAAATGCAGCCAAGTCCTTCCCTTAAAATGTTTTTTTTTTAAATTAAGGGTTGGGAGCCTCTTTCAGCCGAAGAGCCATGTTCAGTCTCAAAGAAGTTTTTGAACCCACACTCTAGTGATGTGTGGGGCTAATAAAGGCAAAGTTGGGAGCCAGAAATGACAGGATAATTTAGCTTAAAGCTCTTGCTGCCAATAATCAAACCATTAGGGGAGGATTTTAATGCTTTGGGGATGGGGAGAAAAAAACCTGTATGAAAGGGAGGAAACTGCCCAATAGTGGTGCCACGCGGAAGGAGGTCGGGCCTTCTGGGGAACCGAGTAGGGCCAGACTGGGATCCGAGGACAGCTCAATTTTACCTCAGGGCCCAAGGTTCCCTACACCTATTTTAAATGTGCCTTGTGTGGTGGGTAGCCTGGAAGAAGATAATACTAAACAAGCGCCAATATGAATCAGCTCTACCCTTTTTGTTTCAGAGGTGGTATTTTCCAATTCTGCCACTGAGGACTTTTTTTTAAGTCGGAGTGATTTGAAAGGTGTTTTCCACATGTGATCTGTTGTTTCATTCTCCAAGGACTGGGGTGGACATGATGTAGGTGGTACTAAGCTGGACATAATGATTTGGGTGCAGGATCAAAGGAAATGGGAGCTGTGGGCTGTGGCATGGATTGCGGTGCCAGTGTGGATGCGGGCACCAAAATGGTTCTCAGTTTCTATTCGATCCTGTGATCTGAATGGAAGCATAAATTAGGATGTGAATCAAGCCATTATAGATGCCACCTCATTTGTTGTGACCCACAGAGCATTGTAATGGGCTGGAAGAACGAAGAATTATTTTTCTGAACCAAGTGTAAGGCAATTTTTCTGTCTCTCTGAAATCATGCAGAGCATTGTAATGGGCTGGAAGAACGAATAATTATTTTTCTGAACCAAGTGTAAGGAAATTTTTCTGTCTCTTCGAAATCATGAGAAATATTTTATTTTATTTTATTTACTTACTTATTTCATTTTCATCCAGGTACTGACCCGCCTCAGACTTCCTTATCTTTAGGAGAGCTGCTGTATCAAATGGGTGTTAACCCAAAGAGCTGCCAGTACTGTACTTGCCAGTCTGTCTCTATTTGGTTTCTGTGGTTGTTCCTTCTGTTGTCATAAAGATATCTTTGCAGTGTGCAGAAAGAATCCTTCAGTTCTGTCTTCTTTCCATAGTATTTTCTATATAAATTCCCTCCTGATGTGGATTCTGTCATCGTCAGAGTGACATCTGAGACCATCTACCCTTGCTCTGTTGTCTCCATCCAGGACACTGTGGTAAGCTTCAAGTGGGTGGGACAGCTGATGGCCAGCCACAGTTATATACGAGTATTATGTGCTGTTTTTTCTATGCTTAGCATTGGACTTCATTAATCATATTCTTGACTCATAGTGGGAGTCTGGGGACATAGTACTTCCAACAGGGTCCTGTGTTATTTCTTATTCATGCAAGACACTTGTGAAATGTTCAGTCATTGGCTGGCTGGAGTGGTTTTCTGTGTTTCCTGATTCTTCGCACCAATCCACAACACACACATGCAACCCACTTGTAGCTTTTCAAACCATTTCTGTTGCAATAAATCTATGTCAGTTGTAATCTTAATTTGTATTCATTCTTGATTCATAATTTGTATTCACATTTCATTGGCCAGAATCCTACTGCATTCATATAAGGTTTGCATCACTTATCTAAGCTACTGGCAGGTAAGTGGGTGTAGTGGCAGGACACAGCTTGGTTGCACAGCTGAATGCATGACCAGGGAGCTCATCAAGTCAACTCCAATTTGCTGCAGCAAATTACACAGACCTTGTGTGAACTCAAAGAGGATTCTGGCCAGTGTCATTTTTCTTATCGTGAAGCAAAAACACAGATTAGCTGTCAATTACTTTGCCAGACTTTCGCTTGTAAGCCGCTGCTTATTTTGTTAAATTAAATTAAATCAGCTTTTCAGTCATTCAACGCAATTTATGTCCCAACCTTTAGAACCAAGACAGCAAACATCTCTTCATTTATTTGTCATTTATTTCTTTGTAACACTGGTTCTCGGGCTCTTGTTGGCCCAGAAAAGACCCCAAGCTAAGTTTAAATTGAAACCTTTAAAACAGTTTAGATGAATTAAAACAGAACACACCGCATAGAGAATAAAGCAATATTTTGAGAAGATTGAAATCCCTGGCAGCATGCAGTACAGTTTCAAGAGCCCTGATGGATACTTGGCAGAATTACAGTATTTAGAGCTGGACCTCCAAAAAATAAAATAAAAATTGGAACCACTGCCTAATAGATGCGCCTTTAAAACATGTAAAGCTTACCGTAAGTCTCTCATTCTGGCTCCCAAAGGATATTCTAAATCAGAGAAGTTATGCAACTGTCAGTCTTACGATCCTTAGGTGCAAAGACCTCATAACTATGATATTAGACTGCCCTACGTTATTATTCTTTAGCAGAAACGCAAACACAGCGTATTTCAGGCTTTTTTTTCTGGCAAGTTCCTGAAATCCTTTCTTATATTTTCAAAGAAAAATATTTAGCACTAAGGAAACAATACTACCAAAAAAATGTAGCAATAAAAGGAAAGCAGAAACAGACAAAGAAAAAAAAATGAAAGATGCAGAAATAGCAGATTCATTTGGAATATAAAAGGTATTCCTTATGAAACACTAGCTAATATATTAAAAGGAAAAGAACACAAGATCATTTTATTGGGTAGGGGGTTAAAGATAAGGTAATTGCCATCAAAGGCAAGGCAAGAATGTCATAGTTCAGGAGTCTGGTTTATCAACATAACAGACAATATTTTTATGAGCTTCTCAGGCAAAGGAACACTTTAAAGTAGTGGCCCTAAATAGGCCTCAGAGAAAACATAGAGTGCATAATGCCCAGTGCATAGGGGCAGCTTAGTGAATGCTTTCTGAAAACTGATGCTTACAAAAGAGGCAAGACAGCCTTTTAATAAATTTCTCCATGTGTTGCAGTGTCCAGTTTATGATTTGGATCATAACGTGGAATTCAATGGAATTTACCAGTCCATGACAAAACAGGCAGCCATCACGGTGCAGGTGGGTCGCTAAAGCTGTCCATTCAGCTCTTTCCCTCTGAACTGGATTGTTTATGATTATTAATACCTGTAAAGTAAGGGTTGTAATCTTACATGTTGTTTAAGGTACTCAAGTTTCAAAAGCGCTTGATTTAAGAAGGAGAATAATTGCTTCCTCCACCACCCCGAACTACATTCTTTCAAGCAAAGGCTCTTGCAGGGCCACATACCAGTGGCAGGTGAGGTTAGAGCCAAAACTGGGCAGGATAGAGCCACCCTGCGCTTTCCCCCCCTCTCTTCCACACTCACATCATTCTTTTTCAACCACCCCTCATTTTGCTCTCTTTTTTCCTTGCCCCTCTCTCCCTCTCCCTCTCCCTCTCCCTCTCCCTCTCTCTCTCTCTCCCCTTCTCTTGGTTTTTCAGCCCGAAATGTTATTGTCATGATCCCCACGTGGCCCCTGCTTGTTTCACCAAACCAAGGAGCTCACGCTACGTGGCCCTTAGCTACCACCAGTTGATTACATCAGCATTACCTATTATTAATAATCAAGGTCCAGGCCATATGTCATTTTAAAAGAACCAAATACAGTAGAAATTGTTTATTGTTACAGATGTAGATACTTTAAGCAATGTTATTGTCATGATCCCCACGTGGCCCCTGCTTGTTTCACCAAACCAAGGAGCTCACGCTACGTGGCCCTTAGCTACCACCAGTTGATTACATCAGCATTACCTATTATTAATAATCAAGGTCCAGGCCATATGTCATTTTAAAAGAACCAAATACAGTAGAAATTGTTTATTGTTACAGATGTAGATACTTCAAGCAATGTTAACATCTTCCTTCATCCATTCTCAACCATCACTTTCCTGCCCAAACTCCAAAACCTTCTCTCAACTCTCTCTCTCAGAATTCCCTATCTCTCCATCTCTAAACTCACCTTCTCTCAACTCTCTCTCTCAGAATTCTGTCTCTCCATCTCTAAACTCTAGCTCCCCATCCTCCTGCTGAGTCTCTTGTATCTTGTGATTCCGCCCCTCCAGCACTCCCATTGGTCTATGCAGATGAATATGAATATTCATGACCTGGGCAGATGCCACAGTTATCTTCTGCAATTTGAGAAAAATCTATAATCAGTTAATATGATGTGAAGATCTAACAATATAGAAGTTGACATTTTGAATTTTAGGCAAAAGTTCTCTTCTGTTTATCTTAAACTGCAAAGCACTGTCTTCTACATATTAAACAAAAAGTGAAACAAATCAGACCAATTCATGTTTATCAAACTTGCAGACATGTTTACTTGTAAATTCTGAATATTGACATTTAAATCTCATGGAAGCACTAATCTTGTGTATTTTTAGGTACCAAGATATGAAATGTTTTATGTATAGATCTGGAAGTTGGGTCACAGCAACTGAACTTCTTCCTTATTAAGTTGAAATGTTTCACTACTCATCCAGGTAGCTTCTTCAGTCTACAGTACTGTACTTAAAGGAGTAATGAATCATTTCGACTTAATAATGAAGAATTCAGTTGCTATGACTCAACTTGCAGATAACTTCACCTGGATGACTGAGAATCTTCACATATATATTTTTATGTATAGAATGTTAAAATAATTAAGGGGGATGGAGAAAAAGCAGCCCTGAAAATGAAAGTTCTTTTTAAAATGTGGCTTGAACAACAGTTCACTAAAATCACTGCAAAGCAGTCAGCTCTCCAGCAGAGCAAGGTCACATGAACACTGCCTAGCAGAAGGAGTTATAGTGGTGCCTCAATTTACGAACATTCCAACTTACGACCAATTCGAGTTACGACCAGCAACAGCCGCAAAATTTTGCTTCAACTTGCGACCAGAGCTTCGAGTTACAATCGGACCTTTGAGTTACGATCAAAATCACTGCAAAGCAGTCAGCTCTCCAGCAGAGCAAGGTCACATGAACACTGCCTAGCAGAAGGAGTTATAGTGGTGCCTCAATTTACGAACATTCCAACTTACGACCAATTCGAGTTACGACCAGCAACAGCCGCAAAATTTTGCTTCAACTTGCGACCAGAGCTTCGAGTTACAATCGGACCTTTGAGTTACGATCGGAAAAAAGGCAGGGGAAAAGGCAGGGAATTCAAAGGTGGCGAAGAGGCTGCTTCTTTGTAGCTCTTTCGTTCCAGCAGTTAGAGAGAGTGTGATTGGAGGAGGCTTTGGACTGCCTGGTAAGGTGCTGCTTTCTGCTTTTTAAAAACTGCCTGTTTTGGGTGGATTTTGCAATGTGGTTTTGGGCTGGGGGGGTATGTTTCTGTGTCTTGCAGGGTTTGTTTGCTTTTTTGGGGGGGGTTCCCCCATTTCTGATGGGTCTTGCAGGGTTTGTTTGCTTTTCAGTTCCCTCCCCCTCATTTTTGATGGGTCTTGCAGAGTTTGTTTGCTTTTTGGGGTTGTTGGGTTTTTTTGCATTTCCAGTGGGTCTTTCAGGATTTGTTTGTTTTTTTGTGTTTTTTCCCCATTTCCAATGGGTCTCGCAGGGTTTGTTTGCTTTTTGGGTTTTTTCCTCCTGATTTCCGATGGGTCTTGCAGGCTTTGTTTGGTTTTTTGGGTTTTTTTCCCATTTCCGAGGGGTCTCGCAGGGTTTGTTTGCTTTTTGGGGTTGTTGGGTTTTTTTGCATTTCCGGTGGGTCTTTCAGGATTTGTTTGTTTTTTGTTTTTTTTCCCCCCTGGTCCGGAATGGATTAATCGTGTTTCCGATGGGTCTTGCAGTGTTGAGGTTTTTTTGGTGATTTTTCCCCCCAGCCGGAACAGATTAATCGCATTTCAATGGGAATATCACTATGGGAAATGGTGCTTTGACGTACGATCATTTCAAGTTATGACCATCTTCTGGAATGGATTAAGTTCGTGAGTTGAGGCACCACTGTATTTGAATGACTGACAGTCGAGTTGTGAGAGAGAACAGAAATAATTCAAATAAGTAAAACATTGCAGTGTATTAATATGACCAAAGACAACATTTGCAGGTCCTATAATTACACTCTTTGTAATTACAGTATGTTGGTATTTCAGTACCTTGGTGGACCATATTCTTTATATTACAGGCCTTTATTCCTCCAGACGCAAAACAATGACATCATCCTCACAGTCACAGACTGCTGTATTCTGAGTTGCAAGCCCTTAGAGTTGAAACAATGACATCATCCTCACAGTCACAGAGTGCCGTATTCTGAGTTGCAAGCCCTTAGAGTTACAGTACAACAGCAATAGTGATTCCTATTTTAAAAAAATGTCTTGGTGCACCAGGCCACTACACTTTCAGGCCCTGCAGAAATGGCTGTTGATAGTTGATAAGTGAAAGATAAGGGTATAAATAATGTGAAAAAGAGAGAGCCAGGAAAGGAACAGCAAAAAATGAGCTTATCAACATAAGACAGCAACACAATCATCATGGATTTTCCTCCATAGCTTCAATCTTGATTGGCTGTTTGAGCATTTAGAATTATTTTGTTTGTGTTATTAATACGCTTAGAGTCTAAGAAAATCTCTTTAAATATTTTTTGAGAGATAGTCCATGCTTTTGACTGTACCTTTTGAAGCTATACGCTCCTGTAATTTTGAATTCAAATTTGATTCAAGTTCTTATCAGTTACATTTATAGCTAAAAGCTTATGGCAATCACACCCGTACCTTTTCACAAGATGCAAGGATATATTTTTAAGCATTTGTGCCTACAGTTTTTCATAACTATAAGAATGTTTTCAGTAAAATTTGACTTGTCACTTTTTGAAGTATTTTGTGCATATGCTTTATTTATCTGCAACCAATTTATCTACAAGCAATCTAGATAAATAACCCTTGTAGAATTAGACAAGCTGATGTTGCCTTGAATTATTGCAATAATGATATTTCTACCTTGATACCCAGAGGAATGTTGTTATGACTGGAAATGATAATCTGATTTCATTCTGGAATTTGCCCTTTTGTGGGATAAATGGTAGTTTTGAGGAAAACTGGCTTCTGATTGTTCCCTATATGTCTATAAAAGTTGTTTAAGGGTCTTATAGAGATGTTCAGGCATCAGACTCCCTCACCTGACAGATGGATGTTTGCTGTGAAATCTGATTTTGGTATTTAGTTGCTTCACTATTTTAATCATACAGTATCAGCTACCTTGAGTTTGAAACTGGAAGGTGCAATTGAAATAGTTCATTAGTACAGAGCTACTCAGAAATAAGTTATGTGGAGATCAGTATAAAGATGAGGTCTGCTTTTTACCTCAGTGGTTAGGAGGACATTAACAGTAATACAGTAATTCAATGCTGCCTACAACTACAGTTAGTTGGAAAGTTTCTTTGCGTTCATCCCAAAGAGCAGAGAGAAATTGTGAGTGCCTTTTGTTAGATCAAAAAGGATAAAACATTTTCAAGTAGAAATCAGAACAGTAACATTCCGTGAAGAAAATGATAACATTCACGAAAATCAAACTAATTGTTACGTATAGAATTTTTCCCATGCAAAAAACCCTGCAATTCCTCTCTCACTAAAGCTGTCTGAAAAGATAGGGTCCTGAACAAATTAAGTTTACTCTTTAAATGAAATCTCTGCGCTATGCAAAAATCAAGATGTAGTAAATGAACAGCTGCTTGAAATATTGTCTAGCACCACCTAAACTCTCGCCAGCCATGGCTTTTAGTAGCAGGCCTAAAGTTCCTACTGTCTGGCAGCAAAAATGGCAAATCAAAACAACAGTTCTTATATCCAGCAGCACCCTTCAAAATCAGCTCAGTCCAAAAATCTCCTAAAACCCAGCTCTCATCTGCTCTTTCCTGGCTATTCAGGTGCCTCCCTGTTTTGCCCCATTTTAATGCCCCTTGGTGGATGGCGAGCAGGTGTCTTGGATTGCACTGTACGTACGTGCAGAACAAAATATGATGAGCTTTGATAAGCAATAATGGAGAAAAGTCATTTGCAGATTTCTTTGATTATGTTAAAGCATCCCTGAAATATATTATTAATATCGGATCATATGTGATTACTTTCCACTTGATGATTTGCATATAGTAAAGTTCTTGGTCATAGCATTAAAAAAAGATTTCTTGAATAGTTCCCACACTTCTGTACTGTAACCACAGATGTTCACATGGAATTCAGTCTTAGAGGTGACCTTTCTCTCTCTAATTTATGCAGAAAAAGGACTTCTTGGGAAAACAGTTCTTCGTTGTATTTGTTATAAAGCCAGAGGACTATGCTTGTGGAGGTTCGATCCCATCTTCTATTCAAGGTAAGATGAATGGGATCAAAAGGCCTGGGGAAGACAGAAAATCTTTTGGGTCATCTTGGACAGTGGAACGTTGATATGCTTAGTGGAGCACTAGGCTGAAAAGAACAATGAAATTTAACAGGGATAAATGCAAAGTTTACACCTAGGGGAATAAAACATAGTTACAAGATGAGGCATACGAGGGATAAATGCAAAGTTTACACCTAGGGGGAAAAACACAGTTACAAGATGAGGCATACATACCTGGCTCAGTAATACTATGAGTGAAAAAGATCTTGAAATTGTTGGGGCTCACAGACTGAATATGAGCCCACAGTGTGATGTGACTGCAAAAAAGGCCAATGCTATTTTAGGATGCGTTAATAGAAATACAGCCTCCAAATCCTGCGATGTGTTAGTTCCCCTTCAATGCTATTTTAGGCTGCATTAATATAGTCTCCAAATCCTGTGATGTATTAGTTCCCTTCTTTTTGGCATTGGTTATGCCTCATCTAGAGTACTATGTCCAATTCTGGACACTGCACTTTAAGAAGGATATCGATAAATTGAAATAAGTTCAGAGGAAGGCAACATGGATGATCAGGGGACGGGAAACCAAGCCGTATGAAGAAATATTGAGGGGACAGGAAACCAAGCCCTATGAAGAAATATTGGAAAAGGGTGCAGGTTTAGCTTAGAGGAAAGAAGACTGAGGGAAGATATGATAGCACTTTTCAAATACTTGAAAGAGGGACATGATCTGTTGTCCATCATCCCAAAGTGCAGGACACGTAATAAGGGGCTCAAGTTGCAGGAGGACACATTTTGGTTGAATATCAGGAAAATTTCCTAACTCTTGGAGCAATATGACGATGGAACCAATTACCTCAGGAGCTGGTTTCAAGAAAAACTTGGACAACCATCTCTCAGATCTTCCATCAAACAGGATTTGGGATTTACTGATCTTACAGGTTCCTTTCAACTTCATGATTCTATGATTCTATAATTCTGTGTCCCACACTAGCCAGAAATTTGGGGGAAGGCAGAATGAAACCCAGCATCCACTTCTGGTTTAGATTTTTTTTCCAGTTTTTTACCTCCTGAGCCTGGACACATTTCACTCCCTTGCGCAAAAATTGTAGCTCCTGGATGCCTAGTTCGAATTTTTTTTCCATTCCTTTGTGTGTGGTGGGGGAGATCCTTCAAAAATGGCCTAACAGAGCTACACAGGACACATTTCACTCCCTTGCGCAAAAATTATAGCTCCTGGATGCCTAGTTTGAATTTTTTTTTTCCATTCATGGGTGGGGGGAGATCCTTCAAAAATGGACTAACGGGGCTACATGCATTTTGTCCACTTCTTTCTAGATGTAGAATCATAATCTCTTCTAGGGGGACTCTCATAGAGAAAATTAAATATCACCAACATTTAGCATTCAGTTTACCAATACTTACCAGGGATGTGGTGGCACTGCAGGTTAAACCGCAGAAGCCTCTGTGCTGCAAGGTCAGAAGACCAGCAGTTGTAAGATCGAATCCACGCGATGGAGTGAGTTCCCGTCACTTCTCCCAGCTCCTGCCAACGTAGCAGTTCAAAAGCATGTAAAAATACAAGTAGATAAATAGCTACCACCTCGGTGGGAAGGTAACAGCGTTCCGTATCTAGTCGTGCTGGCCACATGACCACAGAAACTGTCTTCGGACAAACGCTGGCTCTATGGCTTGGAAATGGGGATGAGCACTGTGCCCTAGAGATGGACACGACTCAACTAAATGTCAAGGGGAACCTTTACCTTTACCTTACCGATACTGCTCTTTGAATTTCAAAATGAGGAAATTGAAATCATGTGGTTAACTGTAAACACCAGGCATGCAACACTTGGCCTGCAGGCCACAGGCTGCTCTCAGGCCCTATCCCCACTCCATGTGCAATGAAATTTGGCAGCAAATTGCACAGCCAAATGTAACACAGGAAAATATGTCACTAAACCAAACTTTTTTCCTATGTATAGCATTTCCGTTGTTTTACTTTTAACATACTCTTCCCATGCAATAGAGGTGCCCTCTAACTAACCAGTTCTATCCCATCTAACCAGTTCTCCCCACCCAGCCTTCTGTAGTCTCCCCTTCAAGCCCCACAGCTTGAAGAAAGATGAAGGGTAGAGGGAAGGCCACTTAGCTTGAACTCAAGTGCTTTAGAAACAGTAGCACCTGAATACCATCCTTGGCTCTCATGTTTCTCAGTGGGAGGGGCAAAAGGTAACTGAATCCTGCTCCTTTAGGCATCTTTTCTATAATAAGAGGACCCTTTTTTCCAATGTAGAGAAAATGCAGCCAGTTGGCAATCCAGGGGGAGATCTCACTTTCTTCCTAGATGTACTAGTTTGCTGGGCTCCCCAGTAGGATAAGTAGCGGGGTTCAAGCCGCTTGTTCTTGTGGTTCCCTTCTCCCTGTGTGTTGACCAGCCAGTGTGTGGATGAGAGACAGAGAGGGTGGGTGAGAAAAATGGCAGATGCCCCTGCTTGCTGCTAGCACTGGCCACTTTTGTTTTAACCTTGCCTGTTGCTGACAAACAGGTTCCAAAAGATTATTACAAAGTCCATGTGACCTTTGGCTTGAAAAAAAATGTTTCCTGTTTCGTTCCTTATAGTCAGTGATCTTGCTTTAATTCCAGCATACTGGTCTTCATTTATTTATACCATGCGTTCTTTTTGTAAACCCACTAACAAACATCTTTATTAATTTTTAAGAAACAGAGAATAGCCATTTCAGTGTTACTCTTTGGCGAGATCTCCAGGCTGGTGAGAGTTTGTATAGTACTGCTCATAATGGACTGTAAACCGTTGCTAGGTGATGGAGGCCAGAATTATAAGCATGGTTTAATTAATTCTCTTGTTGCAGGAAGGACCAACCACACCTGGAACCTCCAGCGAACGAAGAGCCTCGAAGTGACCGTTGTCCCTTCAGTTAAAGGTTCCTGGCTGTAATTCTTCATCTTCTCATGGTTAGCCTCAGAAAGATCAGTGAACTCTACTGGGAAATACTGCTTCTCTGTGTGTCGCCTATATGAAATCAGTACCAGAGTCCTTGTTGAGCCTGAAATTCTTCCTCCTGCACCACCAACATAAATGTGATGTTAATTCCTATTTTGCATTTCATATGTGGGGTGGCCTGATAGTAATTAATATTGTGCATGGCATAGATGGATAATTTATTGCAGACACCTAATGCTCGTATTTGCTTCAGAAGAGGAGTTTACTCCAAGGTCACAGCTGGGCAGGAAATATAACCATATGCTCCAGTCCCTTTAATTATATCCTCTGCCCCCAGGTGATGCTTCTTCCCATTTTCAGAATCCTGTCTGTTAAATGAAATGAAAGCGGATTTAGCTGGCCTTGAAAAAAAGCAGCTGAATATTTACGTCAGCCTAAGTGCCATGGTATAAGTTTGAATGACAAATAGCCACTAATTCTTAAAATAAATTTTATTCATTCTTAAAAGTTAAGAGAAAACAATTCATAGCTGAAAAGGTGATACAATATTGCAGAATAAAAAAATGGAAAGTATAAAGAAAAGAGCAGCAGCAGAGAAATGAAAACAGCAAAAAAAACCCCACAACCCTACAAGTATATCTATATACAGAACAAAAACAAAAACAAAACAAAACAAAACCCTACAAGTATATCTATATATTGCCTTCTATATAAGGTTACCAAATGTGAAAAAAATATATCCAGGCATAGTTACTGTCTGTACATTCATATGTTAATAATGTTGTAAGGTCTTCTATCCACTGGATTAATTACTAGTGATAGGCATCTATCTCTCCAGTGTTGTAAAATTGCCTCAAGAGAATCACAATGGCAACATTTAGATTATTTGCTCCTGCCCCTTCCTAAAAAGATATTGTGGTGTCCAGTATATTCTAAACAACACCGAACTGAAGAAGAAAAACAGCCAACCACAAATAAAGTATTTCTGCCATACATTAAAGGGGTCACAGACTGCATGGGGAAACGTTTGAAAAACTCAACCTACAAATGGTATTCAGGCCCACCATAAAAATACAACAAATGTTACGGTCAGCAAAGGGCAAAAGAACCCCCTCAGCACTGCAGGAGTATACAGGATACCTTGCACTTGTGGCCAGGTATATATTGGGACCACAAAAAGAAGCATCCACACCAGAATAAAAAAAACATGAAAGATACAGCAGACTAAAACAACCAGAAAAATGGTTGTTGGACATGAAATCCTGTTTCAAAACACAAAAGTACTGGACAACACCAGCAATCATTATGTAAGACTACACAGGGAAGCCATTGAAATCCACGAATACCAGCAGAGCTTCAACAAAAAAGAAGAAAGTCTAAAACTCAACGAAGTCTGGCTCCCAGCACTGAAAAATACAGCCTGCAGAAGGTCAACAAAGTCTAGCCAGCCACAAGGACTGGTAATCACTGCACACAAAAGAGTAGCTAACGACACTCAATCACAGTGACAGACCATCTCCCCCACCTTAGCACAACAATACACCCATAACAAAAAAAACACCCTATTGAAGAAAGTCTAAAACTCAACGAAGTCTGGCTCCCAGCACTGAAAAATACAGCCTGCAAAAGGTCAACAAAGTCTACCCAGCCACAAGGACTGGTAATCACTGCACACAAAAGACTAGCTAACGACACTCAATCACAGTGACAGACCATCTCCCCCACCTTATCACAACAATACACCCATAACAAAAAAAACACCCCATTTCGATAATCACCCAATGTCCTGAAAAGGACAAAAAGCTGATCCCACAACTACAAATACTCAGCTATCCCACAGACTACACCAGAACACAAGACAGAGTTCTAACTCCTGTCCTCTGAAGATGCCAGCCACAGAGACTGGCAAAACATTAGGAAGAAAACCTTCGGAACACGGCCAAACAGCCCAAAAAAACTACAACAACCATCGGATCCCAGCTGTGAAAGCTTTTGAGAATACATAGGTTCCTTTTCTTCCTTCCTTCCTTTCTTTTTACTGAGTCAATAAACATTTCCAAAAGTGCACCACTCAATGCTGCTGGACCATATTTAGCGATCAATAGATGTTGTAATTGTAGATACTGACATTTGGCTGCAGTTGGCAGATCATACCTACTTCTCAAGTAGGTAAATGGCAAAAATTCATCATCCTGTCTAATTAATTGGTCGAAGGTAAAAACTCTTCAGTCTGTCTGCAACCTCCATAAAAAGGGCTTCTATCCAATTTTAAATCCAGATTGCTCAATAAAGTTAATTTAGCATGTGAAAATGGATTGAATTGGAATTGATGTAACAATATGTGGCATAATTCTCTTACTGTAGAGATACTTGAAGGAACAGAATCTCTGTCGGCCCATTTAGATCTCCCTCCCCCGCCCCAAAAACCCACCATCCACTTGGAGTGAGGCTCCACATAGGAGGTTTCAAAAAAAGCCCAAAATTGATAATTAGACTGTGGAACATAGTTCCATAGTACATCTTGGTACCATGTTTCATAGAAAATAAGACAGGGTCTTATATTAATTTTTGCTCCAAAAACGCATTAGGGCTTATTTTCAGGGGATGTTTTAATTTTTTTTCCATGTACAACAATTACATTTATTCAAACACAGTCATGTCGTCATCTGGTTGCTGCACAATGGTGGAGGGTGGGGTTTCATTTAACTGGGACTTATTTTGGGCAACCAATGCAAGGTGGCCAGCGTGGGGGAGATATGTTGGTGCCTCCACCCCAGTTAGATGTCTGGCCGTGGCATTTTGCACCATCTGAAGTTTGCGTGTCAATCTCAAAGGCAGCCCCACGTAGAGCACATTCCAGTAATCTAATCTTGTGACTACGAGCGCATGGACCAAAGTGGTGAGTGCCCCCACATCAAGATAGGGACGCAGCTGGACAACCTGCTGAAGGTGGAAATGAGAGAGCCTTTTCAGTCCTCTCTGCTGTTTCTACTGAAACCAGAAATGACCACAAGTCCATTTATGGTTCCAGGGGTGGAGAGGGGCGGAACTGAATTAGAACAAGGTGAAATATGATAATGCAAGCTGTTTTGGAGCAGAAGGAGTATGATCCTCCTTTTTTAAAAAGGTAATTTGGGGAAGTAGCTTTGGAAGTCACTTAGAAATGGGCAGAGGCCATGGATGTTGCATGTTGCCCATCCTAATTTAGATTTTAGGCAGAGGCCATGGATGTTGCATGTTGCCCATCCTGATTTAGATTTTAGGAGCAAAAGGCATAGTAGAAGAGGGGGGATGGGTTGTGGTTTTCTCCGCAAATATTTAACGGCACATTCGTTCTCCTTTCCCCCAGGTTCTGTTTATGTTCACGCCATCCTTTTCAGCTTCCTGAGCTTCTTCTCATTCTATCTGGGTGCGCTGGTGGTTGCATTTGTGCAGTACCTGAGGTAGGTGAGGCAGGTCAGCAACATCACGTTGGAAGATAAGCCTCGTTCTCCATTTACCAATGGTGCCTAATCCTTCAAGGGGGGAACATGGGCAGGCAAGAAAATGTACAGTTGCTCAGTTCTGTTATGTCTGAGGTCATGATGAGTATACATTGGCTTGGCACTTTTTATCTTTTTCTAGATACAGAAAAAGTTCACTGGAGAAGTTGTTTTTATCATCTTCTGTATGGTTTTGCAATCAAAGGCTGAAATCCTTTTTGGAATATAAGCTAAATTTGTAACTTCCCATCCATTCCTCTCTGGTAAACAAAGCACCTCTGCCAGAATTCTTGAGGTGGGGTGGGGTGGAAACACACTCTGTGCCTCTTGACAGCTGTGGGGCATCGTCTGTGGCACAGGAATTAAAGGGTTAATTTGGTTCATACACCTTCCAGTTGCTATGGATTCTAGATGAGACTGTTGTTTCTGGATCTGGAGTTAATGATGGGCCTGCCTCTTTTGCAAGGATGTGCCACCTTCCTGCTTTTGCTTCTCCAGTGTCTCAAATACAGTAGTGGGAAATTTGATTCTGTTTCTTGTACTTCATCCATGCCCTGCTAAAAGCAAAGAGTTAGGTATTAGGATTTCAGCCTTTTTGTGTTTAGAATCATTCCGCATTCTAAAATACAAGTGGTCAGTTACCTCTTGCAAGCTGCAATGCATGGGTCTAAGGGTGTAATAAGATGGCTGATTAAACATCTTTCTTCCTGGTTGCAGAATTCGTAGGAAGACTTCAACTGGAGGACACAGGCCTGATGAGGGTAATTTTCTAGTTTATTGTATTCATATCACAAAGTTGGAGTCTTATCGTCTGCCAATATAGCAGGAATCCTACTCATAGTAGTGTTGTGGGGTGGGGCTTTTAACTCTTTTAATAACCCAACTGTCTGGAAAAGACCTTGCAGATGGCTTTGAAGTCCACTGAAATCTTTGGCTCTAGAGTCTCTAATGGCCGCCTTGACAAAATTTGTCTCTGTCAGTTGAGCATCCCCAACCTCGCTGGTGCTGACTTGGCTTCTGCAGGCTGTGTATGTGCTGCTGCTTCTGATGCTGGCTCTTCTTCCCTGGGTTGGGTGTTGACATCCTTGAAGCACCTTGCCTAGAACCCAAAGTCAGATCCATGTACAAAGACTTGCTGGTGCTCCTTGAGTCAGAGGTCACCCCATCTCAGAGTGGCAGCATGAGGCAAACCCAGCTTCTCAAACTGAGAGACACCAGTACTTCAGTGAAGATCCAAAACAGAGATGGCATGCAATAATAATAGCGTGGATCAATGGCATGAGCTCCCTGCGAGGTCCCAGTTGGTTCAATGAGGACCCCTTTGGCCATGGAGGGCCAGTGGCCCTCTTATCTTGCCCACAGACAAATAGTTTCATCAGCTAAAGAAATTATCACAGCTGTAGATTCCCTGTATCTGTAGATCATTAGGTTCCAACATAATATAGAATATGCAGCAAAGGCTTAAAGAGTGCAGTAGTAGTGGTGGTCACAAATTTGGGAACGAAATACTGTATTAAAATGACTAAATCTATACATCTAAAAGAAAATATATATAAAACTTTTTGTAGATGGTACTGTATTTGCTGACGTATAAGATGACTTTTTTGGCCCAAAAAACATGCCTCCAAGTGGGGGGTGGCGTCTTATACGCCGGGTGCACTTCAGTTGGGCGAGGAAGGAGCCGCTGCCGCTGAGTGAGTGACGCGAGGCCGCACCGGCCTGGGAGGAAGGCAGGCAAGCAGGCAGGCAGGCAGGCAGTCCAGACGGAGGGAAGGAAGCAGAGCCGGCCATGCCTGAGCAGCCAGAGCCTGCCTCTGGGCTGCCCACTGCCCTGCGCCACTGAGCCAGCTGCCCGCTCACCCGCCGCAGCCGCTTCCCCTCCTCCTCCTCCTCCTCCTCCTCCACTGCCGTGGGCCACATCCCCTCCTCCTCGCCGGCCATGAACTTCCAAGGCAGGCCTGGGCAGAGCCCCGGGCAGCCGGCAGCAGTGCAGCAGCAGAGCCGTCCACTCTATATTTTGAGTGGAAATGTTGGGGGGGGGGTCGTCTTATACGCCCAGTTGTCTTGTATGCCGGCAAATACGGTACATAACACCAGAGAAATTAACAAAAATGTATAAAAATGTTTCTAATAAGTGCTGGAAATGTGAAGAGAAAGTCGGGAGTTTCTTTCATATGTGGTGGATGTGCAATAAGGCCAATGACTTTGGGAAAATGATTCATGAAATGGTAGAGAAAATTTTATGGGTTAAAATTGCTTTAATGCCAGAAATTTTCTTATTGAATATTTTACCAGCTATGCTTGAAAAAAACAAGACTTACCTGACTTTACACCTGGTAACTGTAGTAAGAATTTTATACGCCTGTAGGTGGAAGACTACAAAAGTGCTAACAAAGAAGGAATATATTGAAAAGATTTTGGAACTAGCAGAAATGGATATTCTGACAGATACACTAAATGATAGACCAGATAATAATAAATGGGAACCTCTTTACACCTGGATGAAATCTACACCGACTTAAATAGAATAGATTAGATTAATACTATGTTAGAGAGTACAAGACAAGATTAAATGAGTTGAATACATTGTAATAAATCAGTTTGGTTACAATGGGTAGAAAAGTAAATACTATATCTTATATCCTCTCTATATAGATATATATAGATATATTCCCTTCCATGGAAAAATGCCCTGGCCAATTATACCTAACCTGCTCCTTCTGCTTTTACTGCTTTTACTTCCCACCCAACATCCTGTGTGTTCCCACCCCCTTGGGCCTGGGGAGCTGCCAACATCCATATAGTGCTTATTTCCTGTGCAGCTTCCTTGGGCAAGCCCAGGCTGTAGCAGAAACCGTCTGTTTTCCTGGGGTGGGGGTGGGGGGCTTTCTTGACCAATCAGAATTTTTAAAAAAGACTGTTTATTTCCACTGTAGGATCTGGGACCGTGGCTGCCTCTCATCCTATTGCTGCCAGCACCCCCGAGGGAAGCAGCTATGGAGCAATTGGTACAGTAACGCTTTTACAGATATAACTGTGGAGCCTGATCAGGTGGTAGATACGTTGTGTACTGCCTAAAATGATAATTAAAGACATCTTATGAGAAGCTGTGGAACGATGAGAGTACTAGTTGAAAACAGGATGCAGAGTGAGGTGCAAAGAGGTGTCCTCAAGTGCCCTCAGGGTTATGGATAGCAAACGGCCTGTCCTCTAAATAAGGGGTAGGGGATAGCTGCCCCAGTATTTTACTCCCGTAATATCCATGGCTCCTTCTCTTTGTCTCCATTGCCATATCTCTGTTCCCCTCTTGCTTCACCTCTTCTGTTGGAGGCTGCTTGTTCAAGACGTGTCTTGAGACAGCCACTCTAGAAGTTGCCCCCCCCATCTTTCCCTGTCAGAGGTAGGCAGGAGCACACACCCCTGGGAGCTGCTGTTTCAGGCACCTTGCACAGTTTGAAATGGTGGTTCCCAAAGCGGCCTTCCTGTGCTTTTCCCAAGGGGAAGCGTTGGGCAGGCGTTGAGAGATTGGGAGAACTGGGGTGATAGGCTGATGTCTCTGAAGGATGGGTAGACCCATGGATCAACCCCTTTGGGAGAGTCATACAGTGCTCTTGAAGGGGATTCTGCAAGTGGCCTTTACTATAAATCTTGAGAAACAAACCAAACTCCCCACTGCCTTTCATACAATGTTTTTTGTTTCATGGATTTTAATCCAGATTGTGTTAGTTTACTCTCCCAAGAGATGCAAATGTTCCTCGGCTATTTTCCAGATGAGTCCGGTTCCACTGGAGGACAGCAGTTATCCTCTCTGGATCATAAACCTCCGTGTGGCTCTGACACAGACAGCTCAGTGGAAGAGGAAAGTGACTTTGACACCATGCCTGAAATCGACAGTGACAAGAACGTAATCCGCACTAAGGTATCTCCTGCAGGTCACTTGAGTAAGGACTTTCTCCTTCGGTATATCCCACCCACTCTCAGGCCTGCACTTGTCTGGGATGGGTCGTTTGTGAGCGTCTGTGGCATATGAAGCACAGCAGTCAGCAAGTGGTAAGATTTAGGGAGCCTTGTTGCCATGGTTACCGGGGATGTTTGTGTCTCTTGGTACCCCTCCAGGCTCTTTTTCTGTGTTGGAAGGACGAACCTCTCTGTGCCACAAATACCTGGGGAAATTCAGCTCAGATGGAT